TATTATATCTGGAACATGATCAGATTGCAGGTCAGTAGGAGTAAATATTCACAATACACCCACGCTACACATAACGAAATTTCGCATGATTAGATCCAGTAGGAAAGGGGTTACGATTGAAAAGTACGTCTGAAGAACCACTTCATCGAAGTCTTTTGAGCGCTACTGTATATCATTTCAAATATTGAGAGTTGGACAAGCCTTATAGCGTTGGAAAAAGGAAAAGTGTGAACGCTCCAGGTTCACGGGAAGAGGAGTTACGAACTTCCGGTCAAACACCCACACCGACAGACACATACAAACCAATACACCGACAAACCAACAGACACACTTAGTGGATTATATGTAGAAGGATAGTAGGATAAGGATCGCAACATTGGAATGGGAATAAGAAGACCATCAAAATAAAGACGTTGTGTAGATTAAAAACCGTCTTATACGTGAAGAAGAACTTTGATACAACAAAACTCTTGAAATAGACAGGCCTATACACATACTATCATAATTTCCTCCATGAGTTCCCTTTGAAATCGACGTAGTCCACTGAAATCTGCTTCGACAAGACGATTCTTCGGGAGCATTCGAAGAACTTTTGCAACCTGAAGGAAATATTTCCTGTTCCAGATTGAAAATGAGTACAGGGCTGGAAAACGAAGAAAAGAATCTCCAAAAAGAACAGCAACCCAAAAGTCTGACCTCGTCCCTTATATGAAACATGCTTTCAAATTGCTTCTGTTCCGGGTCAATGTAGGGAAATAACCGATGGAATTCCTCCACACTAGTAGTGAACGATCGCAAATGCTGCCAGTAGTTGTCCACGATCTATAATTCAGCGGTTTCTCGCATTCAACGATCACTCTCCACATTTGAATTCCTGGTTTCGTCTAGCCAGGGCAAAATCTGTCGATGCAGCAACTACTCCGGTCTGATATAAACATTAGCAAATCATACATTCTACTCGGCTCACTTAATTCGAGAACCTGGTGAGAGATTCTAACAAAATTTCTCCACTAAATAGGACTATAATATGGAAGTCTTCGTCATATACGGAATCTTTTCCCACATTGCCGAAAGACGAAAGACATCAGGAGAGAAGGATGTATTTTATAATACTTGTGCGCAAATGACGATAGGTATATCCTCGCTTTTCGTCACTGCGACCCCTTCTGCCGTGACTTACGCCAAGATTTGGACATAACGCAGGATAGCTCGACGTGCAGTCAGCGCCATCCGACGCGCTGTGAAAAGTTGAATGCTCGTAGTTTCATTATGCACGCAGGTGCATGGTGGAATCCGAAGCTCCGAGCTCTGTCAGCGAACTATGATCAGGTGCTTGAGCCAAGAATTGAGAATTCAGTGGATAGCACACATAATGCGATTTTGCGATTACCGTTGGGTCATGACTGTTACTGACTACATCCCTTGAGACGTCAAATCAACCTAGTATGGCACCAGTCCGTCCTGGTGTTTGCTTTTCGTTTTTCTCAAGGAGGGGAAACGATGGTGGGTGACATAAGGTGCTAATACCGACATCATGTTGCTAAGAAATAAACAGGAAGCGTTTTTATATGCGTCTGGAGAAGCCCTCAAGAGAGATCTCGGTCATTTCAGCGCCAAGATTGGCCTCAGAAGAACGGAGGGCTGCGTATTGGGGCTCATGGATCGAAACAAAGTGAGTAGAGTGGAAGGCTGTCCGAGTTCATCAAGTTCATCAAGCTGACTCGCCTCACATAATCCATGGTTACTCGCAGTTCCAGAAGCCCTCTCATTCCCGATGGACATGGGAGTTACTAGGTAGACAGTTCTATAATAAAATAGAACCATCAACTTGACCCAAAGTTTTGCCAGACTGACGTTGCTGTTACTCCAAAAGTCTACACGGGATTGGACCATCGTTTCCTCCACGCTGAATTCTATTCCTTCAATGCGTGGAGAGAGTCTTGCGAAGTTCAAGAAACGAAGCCTCGGGACCGTCATCAACTGGAATACACTGCTTCCAATGCAAAATAATATGATGATTCCGTCATCAACAACTGGAGAAATATTACCTGTTCATCGAACACTTCACAATAGTGGTCAGTTAGTAAAAATGTCTGAATTTGCAGCTGTGCAGAGAAGCGTCAAAGAAAAATCTGTGCAAAGATGTGATAAAGGAAGAAAGAGAAATGCATCCAAAAAGCCCGATGGGACTCCGCCAATTACAAGATCAAGATGACTTCCCGTCGTCTTGAAGGAAAAATTACTGCATCTCGAAGGGCAATGGAGAAGTTCACCTACGAATGCTACTTGGATCTCTTCGACAACCCACGTCTGTTGCCTACCCATCTTAGGCAAGACGATTAAGTCGTCCGTTCGGTTCCCCCTTCAGAAGATTGACATTCGAACACGTTGAAGAAGAATTGTACGGCGCCCGATCTGGGCAGTATCAAACCAGAGCGTCTAAAGAGTCTGCCACTAGTTATCGTCAGAATTCTGGCTAGGCTCTTCACGCGGTACCTGTTGAAATGCAAAGTGCCCACGTCGTGGAAAACAAGCAAGACTGTGTTGCTGTACAAGAAGGGAAATCCCGACGACATTCGCAACTATTGTGCAATTTTCCTGCTGTCTGCAATCAACAAAATTTCACTTACATCATCCTCAATAAGATTGGCAGAATGTTACAAGGAGGAAAGCCAAGTGAGCGAGCATGATTTGGGAGACGGTTCAGTGCAACCGATCATCACACTGTCACAAGACTCATTGAAAAGGCACAATATGGAAATTAAGCCCTACTCGGACCGTAACTTGTATACCAACAACAAATTCCATCTCAATAACATGAACTTCTCTTTTTTCGGAAAAGGTCACCTTGTCTATCTTGCAAAATGATACAGCCACGTCATATTTTTCCGTTGTTTTCCATTTTCACCTCACTTAATTGCTTAATATATGTCAAAATTTCCACTTCAGGTGATGGGAAATAAAAGTTGCAGTCAGAGTTTGAGAGAGAGCAAATTCCTGCAAAAGAGGAACAGGGACTGTCAAAACACAGAATCGCTCGGGATTTGAGCCGCTGCCACTCAATTGTCGAGGCTTTCTTATGGAATCCTATCATGTATGGAACCAAAAAAGCACGGGATATTTTTCTTCACCTTTGAAAGGATATAAGCGAGCGATTTTGAAAGGAGCGTCAAATACGACGAAGTCATGTAGGGAAATAAAGTACTCTTCGGAGTTCAATGATCACAGTTTGGAACGTGATAGAAAAAAGCCAGAGCTTGCTGTTGAAGGAAAATTAAGAAGGCATTCTTTATGCATGGAAGCATTGCGATAACCGGGTCGCTTTTGCCAGGAATTGCATCGGAGATGACCTCAGTGAGGTGCCTTCCCATGGCCTGTCGTATACTCTTCTTTCCCTCTTTTCGTTCTGGACTTGAATCTAATGGGAAACATCCTACTTGTATAATCGGCTAAGTGTGTCTGTTGGTGTGTTTGTGTGTGTGTGTATGTATGTGCCTGACCGGGAACTCATAACTCCTGTCCCCGTGGGCCGAATGCGTTCAAATTTGGTAGGAGTACAGGCGGCAGGACGGGAATACTTCTAGTGAGTGGCAGGACTAGACTCCGCTACTATGGGCGGAGTTTGAGCAAAAATTCATAACCACTGTCCCCGTGAAGCTAGAACGTTCAAATTTGGTAGGGGTTATGAGAACAGGATGGGAACACTAATGGATGGTGGATGGCAGGCAAATTGCCAATTTCGCCTTGGCGATATTTTACGATTTTCTTGCCGAGCACAGCGAAGATGGCTTACAGGAAAATCGCTCCCAATTCGGAACTAATACTGAGGGTGTAGAGCTTTCAAGGAAAAAGGAGAATCCGAAGAGTTATTCAGTTATTTCATAGCAAACTTCTTACAGGAAGGAGGGGTGCCCGGCGTAGGCGGGCGACACCATAAGAAGGAGGGAAGTCCGGCGTTAGCCGGGCGGCCCGACTGGTATGAAGATTTATGTTAAGTACGACTTAACAAGGAAACCGTAGTTGCAGGTAACAGTGAGCGAAGAAAGCAATC